ATTCAAGCCGTCTCCAGCTATTATTAGTCTCAAAGTGGGTTCCTCGTCATCGAATTTAAAAGCATAATATATGTGTTTGTGTGATATATAACCGTATAAACTATTGTTCTGGTATAGTAATATGAATAATTCATGACATCAATGGCTGCATAATATATGTTCATGAGTGATAATAATATGAATAAGTCATATTATTATGAATAATCCGTAATTGTAATAGCTCTGGGGATATTTGCATATGTGACATCAGTAGCGGTATTATTTTCGAGTATCTTCGAACAATCTGATAATAATTATTGAGGTTTTTATGTCCTTTTCAATCACCAATAAAGCTACTTAAAACAATTTAGGCATTTGAATAATATTAGAGCTCGTGCCTAAATCATTATTTCACATTATATATCGGACCAAGTTTTTAATGATTACATGTGTATGTTACATATTTCTTTTCAATTTCACCATTGTGACGTAGAGGCCTAATGTTTTTTGATTGGCCGTATCTTCTGCTGTGGATTGCTGTTTCGTCTATTGAAAACTCATCAGGCTGGCAAACCATAGAAATACAGTTAGGTCTATTATAACGGTGATTTGTATACAACATTAATGGGTCTTTTAATTTCTTTTCAATCACTAATTAAGCAACCTAAGATAATTTAGGTATTTGAATAATGTTAGAGCTCGTGCCTAAATCATTATCTCACATTATATATGGGACCAAGAAAACATTAGGCCTCTATGTCACAGATTCTTCTTTCAATTTTACCTTTGATTTATGGATAGATTCAATTCCTCACACGAAACTAACTCTATAGATAAAGCTTTGTTAAAAGTAATTATAATTCTCTAAATTTCTGGCAATTTACAAATACAAAGAAAAAATACAACAACAACATTTATCGCATTTTAATCGATATTGTTTAACCAGGTTGCTTTAATAATAATAATAATATAAAAAAACTGAAAGAAGGTCAATGCTTATAAATACACCTGTGAATATACTGTAAGTGTAGTATAACAATGTATGAACTTGTATGAATAACGACGTGCAACAATATGTAGATTCGTATGATGAACAAGAGTATGAGATCAGCTTGTTTGGTTTAGATGCACAGTCCTTATTCCCAATATTAATATCCTACAGGTTATGGTGAAGAAAAGTAATTAACAAATACATATTATCTCAGATTGTATTTTAATGATGCTATTTATATCTTTATTACTCAATCGTCTGTCCGCCTTCTATATTTTCTACGCCAATGAATTATTAACAAAACTTTCTACAATCGTTTGCTTTTAACTCTTATTATAACAAAAATTAAACAATAATAAAATATTCACTCACAAAAATAAATTAATTACTAATATCTAAACCGAACAGTCTTTTATATCACGACATAAACCCCTCTTCAAGATAAATATTTACAATATATGTTTTACTATATACAAAAACTGTTCTTAGTTCGTATACAAAGTCTGCTCCAACATTT